GCTGGGCCGATAGAGGAGGATAAGGAGGAAGAGGAGGCAGGATGAGGAGAGGAGGAGGAGGTGGATGAGGAGTTGGAGGCAGCACGCGCACCCGCACTAAGAGCCGCCAGCCGCCGCCGCGCCCGTCCCGCGCTGCGCCCGTCCCGAGCTCGAGCCGCCAGCCGCGCCCGTCTCCGAGCGCTGGCGGCTTGGAACCCGAGCTTGAAACTCAAGCTCGAAATTGCGTGCGAGAAAAAGAAATCTCCCTTGCAAGTTCCGTTGCTACGCTCACTTCGCGCCTCCGCAATCTCCCCCACCCACCCCCCTCCCCCCTCCCCCCTCCCCCCATGCCCCCTCGCCCCCACGCTCTTCGGCGGCTACGCCGCCCCTCCCGACCCTTCAGGCGGCTACACCGCCATGCCCTTCGGCGGCTACTCCGCCCCGCGATCCATTCCCGCCTCCACTTCCGTCTCTCTGGCTGCAATTCGTTTTTCTCAACCGCGCTGGGCCTCGCGCTGCCCCCCGCCCCCGCCCCTCCCGCGCGCGGGCGTCGGCGCAATGGGGAAACGCGCCCTGCAGGTGGACAAGCAGGTGGAGCAGCGGGCTCGACTGCAACAGTGTCTGGCCCTGCGCGGCGTGTCCGCGGCTTTGCTCGAGCGAATCGTGACTGCGCTTGGCCATGGCGACGACGCGGGCGATGCTATAGACGTGAGCGCTCGGGCCATGCAGCGATCGCAGACGGCATCCGTGGCCGATCTCATCAGCGCAGTGCGGCTGCAGCCCAAGATCGGCACGCCTTTCCGATGGAGCGTGGCGCTGCCGCATCGGCTGATGCCGAGGCTCCTGTCGGACTGCCCTCTCTGGAGTTCAATGTTTTGGGAAGCGATGCGCCGTTTCCCTGTGTCGCGCGATCGGCCGTGGAGGCTTTTGCTGTACTACGACGACATTGGCGTGGGCAACGCCTTGAAGATAGATAATCGTCGGAATCAGCTCGCGGTGTATGCGAGTTTCCTCGAGTTCGGATCCTTCTTGCAGAAGGAGGTTGCGTGGCTGCCGATCGGCACCTTGCGCGTCGTCGTGAAGAAGAGCATCGGCGGCTCGGCCGTGGCGCGGGCATTGCTTCGCGCGCTGTTCCTGGGCCCAGAGAGTCTGTCGGAGCACGGTGCGCCAATCGGCGGCGTGCACTTTTTCGCCAAGTTCCACCGCTTGATTGCAGACGAGGCGGCTGGAAAAGAGACATTCTGCACCAAGGGCGCTGCAGGTCTGAGACCGTGCTTGCAATGCAAGAACGTTGTGCTGGATCAGGCGGAATGTCTTGCAGACTACGACGACGATGATTACCTCGTGCCTCTCTGGTGCGCTGACTCGTCGCGCTTTGACCCGCTGTCGTCAGACGAGTTTTTGCAGCAATATGATGATTTGGCGTCGCTGCGGGACACGACAACCAGAGCGAACATCGAGAGACTGGAGCCAGGGAGGAAAACATTTCCATCGATCCCCTTCTGATGTCCCCCCCTTCCTTCCCTTCTGATGTTCCGGCCCCCGAAGGAGACGGCAATGGGCATCACTCTGGATGACCGTTCTCTGGTGGCGTGCCAGGCGTTGCGGACGGTGGCGCCGCCGAGCACATACGTGAGGGACCCCATGCATACCATGCTGGCCAGCGGCGGGACCTTGCAGGTCGAAATCTTTGCGCTCCTCAAGGCGGTGAGGGATGTCATCCCCGACGCGTGGGGAACGTGGCGGGATCGCTGCTCGGCGTGGCGGACTGGCAGACGCGGCAGGAAACCGCCAGCGTTTCTGTTCAGCGTGGCTCGGAAGAAAGCGACCTGCAAGGCGTCGCACTTCGTGGGCAAGGCGTCGGATTGCTTGGCCGTGTTCCCTTTGATTCGTCATTGGGTGCACACAGAGCTGCGTCCCAGCGGCATGGCGAACGCTGCGGCGCGGTCGTTCGAGGCGATGGCGAAGATGCTCGAATTGTACATGCAGGGCAAAAGGACATGCGGCCGCAGCTGAAACGCAAACGCTGGCCTGCGCGTTCGAGGATGCACCGCGTCGGCCCGCGCGCATCCTCGAGCGCTTAGGTGGCAGGCGGTTCGGCTACGTCCTGAGGATCGGCGCCGTGCCGAATTTGATAGCTGTCTGGACCAAGGCCGTTTCGATTTCCTTGGCGCTGCACAAAGCCGCGCACGGGCCAGCCCTGATCAAGCCGAAGCATCATTATTTGTGGCACGTCCCCGACCAGCCTGCGGAGGACGGCATCTGGTTGGACGCCTTCGTACTCGAGCGGAAGCACAACCTGCTTCGGTCCAGGTCGCAGGAGATCGACAACCCTGAGAATTTCGAGCGGTCGGCCTTGACGGCGATGCTCGCCTGCTTCCTGGAGGAAGCGAAGGAGGCGCCGCGCTCCCGCGCCAAAGCGTGGCGCACGCCAGAGCTGGACAGTACGTTCGGGCACTCGGGGCGCAACCTTGCATGCCCTTTGTGGAGGAAGATGGGCTGGGAGAGGGGAAGGCGGTTTGCCGCCGAGGCGGCTCGCCGCCAGGAGGAGGAGGAGGAGGAGGAGGAGGAGGAGGAGGAGGAGGAACCCCTCCGCAGGGCTGAAACGTGGACCAGCAGAGAGGCGTCGATCGACGGCCAGATGTACGGCAGCCAGGACAGACGGCGCAACCAACCTTGGTATTTAGGGGTGCACATGCGTGTGCCCCCCCAAAAATCGAGGCGTTGCTGCCCTCAGGATTTTCTCCTGGGCGACGGCGAGGCGTACATCGTGCATTGCTGCGCGCAGGCTGGCGCCGCCAGCTACCTGCTGGTGGAGACCCTGGAATGGGTGCGCGCGCCATGCCCAGGCGCGTCCCTGTGGCGGCCGCGCGGCGACGTCGCCGTGATGCCCGCCGAGCTGATCCCGCCAGCCTGGGCGGCTTATCGGCGACTACAGGACGATGGCTATGTGCTCGCCATCACGTGAAAAAGGAAAAAACGAGCGCATGCGAGAGCGGATATGCCGCTGGCGGATGCGCCGCCCTTCGATAGAGAGGTGCAGGAGGGAGGGGCGGATATGCCGCCGAAGAAGGAAGGCGGGCTCGGGGAGGGAAGGCGGCAGGAGGGAGCGGGGGCGGGCTGGCCGCCGACAACGAGGAGAGGAGAGGGGAGGCGGTGATGGCCGCCGAGGGGAGGCAGTTTGAAGAATAGTTGATCCCCCCCCCTCTCCCTCTCCCCCCTTCCCCTCCGCGCCCCGCAGGCGTCCTGAGGGCGGCTCGGCGCGTCGACCTGCGGCGCCCTGTCCTGAAAAACTGTTGTGTTGTAGTTGTTAAAACGTTTTTTGTGGTTTTTTCCCGAAACATAGCAATATCAAGAACAAACATGCAAAACATAGAAAGTTATGCAAATTTCGGGTTAACCGAATCGGACAGCCCACATCGACTTAGCTGACTTAGCTACTAAGTTGGGTATGTTGAGGTGTATGTATCGATATATCTTGGCAGTGGTACCCGATAGCTCAGTTGATAAGATGGATGGTTCTGTGAGTAGTATGTATGGTATGTTGTTGAATATACTTATCTAACAAAACGTTAAGTAGATGAATGCGAAGTTCGATATTTTATATATGTTGAATATGTGAGGTCAACTAGCATGAACCTACATACATCTTCGTTGAAACGATTTCATCGGATATACAACGCTCTTACCGCACTTACACCCACCCGACGATCAAAGCAGGCACCTGGCCCCAGCCACCGAATCGGCGGCGAACCCGGGCACCCGGGCACCCGGGCACCCGGGCCTCTGGGCACCCGGGCCCGGTCACCGAATCGGCGGCGAACCTCGCCTCAGCCTTTAATCCGCTAGGACCCCTACAGGGGCAAGCTCTGATTGGGGATAACGTAGAAAGAGACAGATATTGAGAGAGAAAGGGAGGGAGTGATATATATATATATAGAGAGAGAGAGAGAGAGAGAGAGAGAGAGAGAGAGAGAGAGTGAGGGTGAGGGTGAGAGAGCGAGCCTGGTCCATACATATGCATGGAAATTAGCAGATCGATATATTATGTACACGTGAAAGGCGATACCTATATCTACACAAATGTGTCTGTAGAGAGAGAGAGAGAGGGATATATATAGAGAGAGAGAGAGACATTTAGAAACACATCAGACACCAACAAAACCATAAACATAACATTCAGAGTGAGAGAGAGGATGCAATAAGGGAAGAATAAGAGAGAGAGAGAGAGAGAGAGAGAGAGAGAGAGAGAGAAAGAGAGAGAGAGAGAGAAAGCAAAAAAAGGGAGAGAGACAGCGAATCGAGATCTCGAAGCCAGGAGCCGCTGGAACCTTGGAACCGGGAACCAGGAACCGGGAACCGGGAACCCAGAACCGAGGTCACCGGGAATCGGGAACCGGGAGCTGGGAGCCAGGAGCCAGGAGCCCGGAACAGCGGACCAGGAGCCGGGAGCCAGGAACGGTAACCGAGAACCGGAACAGGGAACTTGAGAGCCGGGGGCCAGGAATAGCGCGGGAACCGGGAAATGGTAAGCCGGGAAGCGGGAACCGGGAACCGGCAACCGGGTGCCGGGAGCTGGTCGTCCGGATAGCCCGGGACCGAGAACCGTCAACCGAGAGGGCTGGGGATGGGAGCCGGGAACCGGGAATTGGGAGCCGGGATTATGAAACCTGGAACGCAGACCCTCTCGGGTAATGAAAAAATCACGACGGGATGTTTTTCACTATTTTCGGCCTTTGGGGGCCCTTACTGGGCCTCGGGACCGTCAAAAAACGACTCAGAACGAAAAACCTGTCCCGGGGAATGGGTCCGGATCCGGACCTCTGAGGGTGGCGTCATGAAAAAATCATGACGTCGGGGGTCTGCGGAACCGGGAACGCGGGAACTGGGAACCAGGAAGATTGGGAACCGGAGCCGGGAACTTCCGGGAACCGAACCGGAAATTCGGCGACTATAAAAGACCTTTTCTTACCCTCCTGCTCCTCTTGCCCCCTCCCCTCCTTTCTAGTTGTTCCCCAGAGGACTACCCCGAGTTTCTGTGCCGGTTCGGCGGCCAGGTGGCAGGCCCTCTTCGGCCTCGTCGTCGTCGTCGTCGTCGTCGTCGTCGTCGTCGTCGTCGTCGTCGACTGGTGGTCCGGGTTTATGTGCGTCTTCTTTTTGGCCTGCGCATGCTTCGTGGGGCTTCTGGTGGCCTCTGGGGGGAATCCCAAAGACTTCCAGAGGCCTCCTGAGGTCTTCGTCGTTGTTGTCCCCTCGGTCTCGCTCTCGTCCTGCTCATGCCTCGTCTTGCTGCTGCCTTGTCCTGCTCATGCCTCGTCCTGCTGATGCTTCGTCCTGCTCATGCATTATCCCGCTTGCGCCCGCAGTATCCTGCACCTCCTCCGTCTCCGTCTCCTTCTCCTTCTTCTGCTCCTCGTCCTCCTCCACCCTTCCTTGTTCTCTTCCCCCTCCTCTTAATCCTCCCCCTCCGTCGCACCTCCTCTTCCCAATCCCCTCCCTCCTCCCCTTTCTCTCCTTTATTCTCCCTCCTCGTCCCATCCCTTCTCAGATTCTCCTAATGCTCTCTTTTCCGATGTCCTCATTATCCTTCTCCTCCTCCTCCTCCTCCTCCTCTTTCCTCTCACCTCCTCCTCCTGCTCTTCATTATCATTCTCGTGTCTCTCCTTCGCCTCGTTCCTCTCATCCTCCTCTTCCTCCTCCCTTCTCCTTCTTCCCCTCCTCTACACGCCCTCGTCCCTATATTTACATAACTCCGCATGTTCGCACCACCAGAAGTATTCCCGCACAATTGTTTCTTCCAAACTCCCACCATAAGTTATACAGGGATGAAAGGCGGGCCGTTTTCAACATGTGGCCCTCGGTTCTCAGCCGCGTACGTTCCTTCCAATACTTCCCAGCAGTCGAAAGCAGGCCAGTTCTGTTTCAACATGGGGCTCGCGCTCGAGACCCCATTCGGACGGGGCCATGACGAGGATAAATCCATTCCAGGGCGTCCTGAAACGCTCTGAGAAGGCCGCGGCGCCCGAGACATCCTCCAGAGCCGCCGGATCTCAGGGATTCTCGATTTATTCTCGTCCGAATTCATCCTCGTCCTGGCTTCATCTTATGGTTTGAAGCCGCGCAACTGTTTCACGGACGGATGGCGGCTGGGCTCTCGTTTGACATCTCATCGTTCTTACGTGAATGAGTTTTACAGTTGTGTGCGGTAGCTGCACGGGTGGATGGCGATTATCTAATCGCTGCGCTCCTTCAGCCGACCCATTTCGCATCACTGGCTGCGTGGTGGTGTGCTCGTGCCCAGGGGGAACGGTAGGGCAGGCAGGATGGCTTTCGAGGAGACCTTTGGAGATGTGGCTCGCACCCATTCGAAGAGAGCAAATAGACTGCCCCAGAGGGCGCCAAGATGGCTCAAGAGAGCTCCAGCATAATTTCGAGACTTACCTGAAAGTCCATGTATGATTCTTAGAGTCTTTTCGGAAGGGAGGCTCCGGGGAGCAGTTTTGAGGCCTCTGGGGAGCCTCTTGGGGGCTTCTTGGGGGCATCTTGGGGCTTCCTGGGAGCCTGTTGGGAGTCTTGGAAGCCTCTTTGGGGGCCTCTTGGGGGCCTCTTGTGGCCTTTGGGGGGCTCTTGGGGGTCCCGGGGGCTTCCTGGGCGCCTCTTGGGGCCGAGAGCTCGGAATGTATGCTCGGGTTCTCCCTCTGGGCCCCCTCTTGGGGCTATCCTGGAGCCGTCTTGGAGGCCTCTTGGGCCGTCTTAGGGCCATCTTGAGCCATTTGGGCCCCCCCCCTGGAGGCTTTTTGGGCCGTCTTGGAGCGATCTTGGGGCCTATTGGGCCGTCCAGGGCGGTCGGCAGCTCGAGAAGGCGGTAATTACCGCCAATCGTGAGAAACATTGAGGAAAACAAGTGGCATGCGTGCCATGGCAACGGCACTGGACGGGGGGCGGTGCGACGCCGAATGAAGTTGTCGGGGCGGAGGGGGTCACGCTGGTGGTGGTGGTGGTGGTTGGCGTGGGCGGGTGGGTGGGGGCGGGAAGGGCGGGGCGGTGGGGGCGGTGCAACGCCTAAAGAAGAGGGGGGCGGGATGCAGAGGGCACTGGGCGGCTCGGGAGGGGGGAAAGGGTCGGCGGGGCGAGGCGGTGAGGGCGGTGCGACGCCGAAATAAAATGGTCGGGGCGGAGGGGGGCGGGGTGCACTGGGCGGGCGGGGAGGAAGGGTCGTGGGGGCGGTGCGACGCCGAAATGAGGTGGTCGGGGCGGAGGGGGGAGGGGTAGAAACGGCGCTGGACGGGAGGGGGTGCGACGGCGAATTGAGGTGGTCGGGGTGCAGGGGAGCGGGGTGCAGAGGGCACTGGGCGGCTCGGAAGGGGGGAAGGGGGGCGGGGTGGAGATGGTACTGGACGGGGGGCGGTGTCACGCTGGTGGCGGTGATGGTTGGTGCATGAGCGGTGGGGGCGGTGCAACGCCGAAAGAAAGTGGTCGGAGCTCTAGACACCCTGTGCAAGGTGATGAATTTATGTTTGCGTCTTGGGGGCTTCTCGAAGTCCTCTTGGACCCTCCTCGTCTTGGGCGCTTCTTGGGCCGTCTTGGGACCAACGTGGGCCATCTTGGAACCCTCTTGGACTGAGGCCGTGGGGCGTGCCACCCTTTTGGCGCCTCATTGGGGCGCCCGGGGGCCCCCGAGGCCTCGCCCAGGAGTTCCGGCATCTCTAGCCCGACCTTGCCTGAACCTTGCTGGGACCTTGCCGGGGTATTTTTCGTCCGGAGACCCCCAGGAGCTGCCACGCGCGTGCGGATTAGAAACATTCTTAAACTCTCACCCCAGATTTTAGCACGCCTCTGGCCCGTTGAGCGTTGCAGTTGTGTGCAGTAGCTGAGCGGCTGAATGGCGATTATTGTTCCACTGGGATCTCTCATGGCATGATCTTTGAACTTTCATCCTGCTCCGTGGCACCCTTTGATAGCTGCAAAGATGGAAGGTGGCTCTGTTTCGGAGCGGGGCTCTCGCTCGAATGACAGGCCCATGGGGCTCTCGTCCTTCAAGGGTGGCGAAATGACAAGACGGTCCCCGAAGCCTTATGATGAGGGGATTTGAAACGAGAGGGTTTGTTGCAGCATGGCTGATGCACCCTGGGCTTACATGGTCTTCTTCCTCATCGTCATCGTCCTCCTCCTTTCTCTTCCCCCAGACGGCCCCAGAACCCTCAGGACATCAGAATCTCCCCAAACCTGGTGAGGACACCACAGAAAGCTTCGAACATCTCCGCCGAAGGCTGCCGGAGGCTCAGGAAGGACCAAAAACGCCGACGGAAAAGACATGAAAATACACATCCTCGATCCTCGAAACTCGATCCTCCCCTCGCACTCCTCGACTTCCCGGCTGGTCGGGCCGGCAGGGGCCCTTCTGGCGTGGCCCTTTTGTGGCATCATCGGCGCCCCGCTGGGCCTGAAGCCGCTGGGGGGCCCCAGCTTCGACCCGGCTCTGCTGCCGCTGGAGCAGGCCGAGGGGGGGCGGAGGAGGAGGAGGAGGAGGAGGAGGAGGAGGAGGAGGAGGAGGAGGAGGAGGAGGAGGAGGAGGAGGAGGTGAGGACCACGACGGGGAGGAGGAGGAGGAGGAGGAGGAGGAGGAGGAGGAGGAGGAGGAGGAGGAGGAGGAGGAGGAGGAGGATGGAGGACAAGGAATCAAGGATCACTTAGACGCCTCTGTCGACAAGGCATACACTTGCACACATATCATTATTGGTCAATGCGATGCCCCCACGGTAAGCTCGCTTACAGCGAAACTATTATCTTCTGCAGACAGGCTCTTCTCAGGAATGATACATTATAATATGGAGCGCCAGCCTCATACCGTGTATGGGAGCCCCCTCGGGCATACCTGGGGGAGAGGCATCAACATTGACCAGAGCACCACAGCCGACTCGACTTCTCCCATACTGCCCAACTCATGCCACCAGACTTCAAGCACATGACATCCACCAGCACATCAGCAGACCTAGCACCACGCTGTAATGGCACTTGCAGAATGCCCACAGCCGCAACTCATGCCAGTTATAGCTTCATGCCCTGCATGGGAGCCCAGAGCGGCACACCTGGGGGAGAGGCATGGGCAATGGAGACATGGAAGGATATAGATGGGTAGACATCCTTACTTGCGACAGCCCCGTTGGCTTCAGGTATGGTTCCAGGGTGCCACAGTTATTTGTACAAGAATATGCAGACTGCGATGATACCGTGCACAGCCGTACAAACACATACAGCTCTCTACGATACCGCACTCATTGACATACATAACATATTGGGAGGGAAACGAAGTATCTCACGCGCCTACGACGACACAGACAGGACCCGTAGAGCACAATGCTCCAAGGATCCCTTACACGCCGCTGTCGACAACATATCTAATTGCATACCTTATGACTGGTCAGGACGATGCCCCCACGGTAAGCTTGATACAGAGAAAGTACTAGCGTCCGCAAACAGACTCTTCTCAGGTACGATGTTTTATGTTATGGAACGCCAGCCTCATACCATGGGGAACCCCATGGGGCATACCTGGGGGAGAGGTACCAATATTGACCAGAGCACCACAATCGACTCGACTTCTCCCATACTGCCCAACGCATTGCACCAGACTCTAAGCACATGACCTCCACCAGCACATCAGCAGATCTAGCATCACGCTGCACTAGAACTTGCAGAACAGCCACATCGACGACTCATGTGAGCTACGCGAGCTACAGCCCCATACCCTGCATGGGAACCCAAAGCGGCATACCTGGGGGAGATGCATGGGCAATGGAGGCATGGTACAAAACATGTGCAGACATCTTTACTTGCGACACCCTCAGCTGGCTTCATATTGTTCCGGGCATCGCAATTATTCTGACAAGAATCTGCATACTGCGATCATCACTACACAGCCGTGCAAACACATACAGCTCGTTACGATCCCGCGCTCCTTGACATACATCACATACTGGGAGGGAAGCGAAATACTTCACGCGCCTGTGAAGACACACATGGGATCAGTACAGTACAAGGCCTCAAGGACCACTTACACGCCGCTGTAGACATGGCGTATACCTGCATACATAATAACTGGTCAGTACGATGCCCCTACGGTAAGCTCGATTATAGGGAGACCAATTGCTTCCGCAGGCAGTCTCTCTCGAGTACGATGCGTTATGATACGGAGCGCCTCATGCCCTGTATGGGCTCCCCATCGTTCATACCTGGGGGAGAGGCATCAATATTGACCAGAGCACTACAGCCGACGTGACTACTCCCACATTGCCCAACTCATTCCACCAGACTTCAAGCACATGACCTCTACCAACATATCAGCAGACCTAGCGCTGGGGGGCACCGGCATTTGCAGAACGCCCGCCCACATTCGCGACCCACGAGAGTGACAGCCTCATACCCTGCATGGGAGCCCAGAGCGGCATACTTGGGGGAGAGGCATATGCAACGGGGACATGGTAGGATACAAATGGGCAGACATTCTACTTGCGACACAACCCAATTGGCTTCAGGTATTGCCCCATGGTATCACAATCGTTCAGGCAAGAATTTGCATACTCCGAGTATACCATACACGGCCGTACAAACACATACTTCGTTATGATCGCACAAACCATACTGGGACACAGCAAGCACCACCCACGCGCCTCCACGGACACAAACTTGGAATGAGGATAAGGGTACAGCATTACCTAGCTTACACACCTGGCGGACAAGCGCACGCCCACATGTCTGGAGTCAAAGTCTCAATCTCACGACTCTTACAGTACCTCTTGCAGCTTATACCGAGAGTGATGGGAAATGCACCAGCCAAAGTAAGACTGCATCACGGACGAGGCAGAGTGCCGCTGAGATCGAGGTGGGCGCGGGAAGCCACCGCTTGGAGGACCACCGCAGGCTGAAACAGGTGGAGCTGAAAGAAGAAGTCCTCCGCCTCCTCCTCCTCCTCCTCCTTGATGCCACCCACTCGGGGGAGGCGAACATCAGCCAAGCGGGAACGCGTAGTCTTCGATGCGCCTGACGGCCTCTCCGCCGACGCAGTATGGAACGGATGGTCTACAGCCAGCGACCATTACCCTCGCCCCTTGCCTACGTGGCGGCGGTCAAGTAGATCGAGGGTCAGGACTTCGCGAAGGCGGCGTGCAGGCTATTCCCTCTCCCTGTTGAGCTGGCCCATGGTCCTGCTTGGGGGCCTGGGTTCCGGGTCGCTTGGATCGGAAGGCTGGCGCGTGGATGCCCCTCGGTCCCTGTCAAGGTGCGCGGGGTGGAGCCTCGTGCAGATGGACGGGGATAGCCAATCAGCAGTTGGTGATAACTGATGTGCATGACTGCCGTGTTCGGCAACCACGCTGCCCACTCTCCCTCCTCGTCTTCCTTTCCTTGAGTATCCTCGTTCTTCTTGTCCCCTCTCGGTGCTGCGTGTTTGGGATATCGTTGGTCGTTCGGGCCGCGGGGGACATCCATCTGCATGCAGAGCAACTGCATTGCCAATTTGCTGCCCAGGCATGAGTTTGCCTATCGTATGCCGGCTTGCGCGGTGTTCTCCCCTCTGCCTGGCGACGCTTTGAAACGCGACGTGCCAGGACCCCCCGTGAAGACTTCGCGAGGGAGAAAATGCGGAGGAGGATGGCCAGGTCGTGGCGGCTACTTTCGGGGCCGTCCACTGGCAGCTGCGACCTCTCCAGGTGGCCAGAGGCAGGGCGGACGTTGCTCTTCCTGATGGCCGCCCGGTGCTGCGTGGAGGGGAGCGCTGGCTCCCGCGCAGGCTGCCGAGGCGCGGGGGACTGCTCATCCGTGGGCCAATCCGTGCGCGCAGCCCCTTGCCAGTCCCAGGCGCCACATCCTGAGAGGGTTCCGCGGGGCCCTCCCTGGAGCTACGTCGGGCCTGTCCCTCTACAGGAGGGGATACTCAAAAACGTAGTCCAAAAATGCTCGGGGGACGAATTTTGCACCACGTTTGAGCACTTCAGGGTGTTTTTGTTTGGTCTGTCTTGAGATTGTCGTCCAACATCGGCCTGTAGGGGGACAGGTCCAGCTCAACCCTGGAGCCAGGGCGTGCAGGGCGAAGGCCCATCGCACCCTCCGCGCGGTGACAGCAGCGCGCAGCAGCGGGTCTCCCCGGGCGGGGGAGCAGGGCGCGGCCCACGTCTCTGTGGTGGCCAAGGGGCCGCCCTCCACCCCGACCCGGGCCCGAAGAAGAGTCGCCCTGACAGTCTGCTTGGCCACAGTCCCCGCGATGCCCGCGTGGGCTGCCACCCAGGACGTCCTGTGGCAGAGCGTGGAGCGTTCGACTCTCGCCCCCTCCCTCCTCCTCCTCGATCTCGGGGCGGTGGGGTGGACGGAGGGATTGGGGCTGCCAGAATTTGGGCGTGGAGGCCACCCCGCATGCCGACCTCCGGCTGCGGGATAGGCCGTGCGCCCCCGATGTGAGCGATGAGCTCCAGACGCTCATGGCCTTCGAAGGGCTACTTCTTGCTGGCGGCCCCCGTTTTCTCACCCTCGGGCCTCCCCCACCCCCACCGAGATGCGAGTGCGTTTTTGTTTGTGCGGCCCTTGGAGGATACGCCTGGGGGGCATCCTCTCATTGGCCAGTCAATGTGAGAGGATACCTCGAGCAGTTGCCCTAGTCCGGCGAAGGAAGCGGGCTCAGGAGCTCAAGTTCCCATGCGGATCTAAGCAGTACCTGGGGTGGTTGGCTGGGGAGTGGCGAGCTCAAGGCGCGGCTGGTCCAGCATCCAACGCAGCAGCCTCTCCTGTCTACAGAGACATGGGGACCCTGGCTCTCTCCAGAACTGCTATGGGCCCGCTTCGGCCTCCATGGGGAAGGCCTCGAAGAGGCTACCCGGGAGCGCCTGGGGCGGAAGCGTGGTACCCGCCAGATTGCTGGGTAAGGCGCCTGGCTCGGTTAGGGGGCCACATGCGAACCCTACCCTTGCCCCCCACGATTTCGGAGTGAACCCCACCCTCCCCCTCCGAAATCGTGGGGGGCAGGGGCAGGGTGCGCATGTGGCCCCCTATCGGTGGCGTGAGTGGCGGGTCCCCGCGAGGCCCGTGGCGCCATCCCAGGCGGGGTGCCCCTTCGCCTCGTGCTGCTGACGGCGTAAGGGGCGGGTCTTCGTTGGGGGCCCTTGGCGCCACCCGGCCACGACGGTGTGTCAGCTTGCTGCTCTGTGCGCGTGCCCCTGGCGCTCGTCGCACGGATCGGGGAAGGAATGCGTAAGGAGGAAGACGGGCGGAGGAGTGGCGGAGGAGTGGCGGAGGAGGAGGAGACATGGTAGGACGCGGATAATGATGATGATGATGATGATGATGATGATGATGATGATGATGATGATGATGATGATGATGATGATGATGATGATGATGATGATGATGATGATGATGATGATGATGATGATGATGATGATGATGCTGATGCTGATGGTGATGATGTGATGCTGATGATGATGCTGATGCTGATGCTGATGCTGATGCTGATGCTGATGCTGATGCTGATGCTGATGGTGATGGTGATGATGACGATGACGATGATGATGATGATGATGATGATGATGATGATGATGATGATGATGATGATGATGATGATGATGATGCTGATGCTGATGATGATGATGATGATGATGATGATGATGATGATGATGATGATGATGATGATGATGATGCTGATGCTGATGCTGATGCTGATGCTGATGCTGATGCTGATGCTGATGCTGATGCTGATGCTGATGATGCTGATGCTGATGCTGATGCTGATGCTGATGCTGATGCTGATGCTGATGCTGATGCTGATGGATGCTGATGAGGATGAGGATGATGGATGAGGATGAGGGTGAGGATGAGGATGAGGATGAGGAGAGAGGGATTGGAGGACGAAGGAGGTAAGATGAGTAGGAAGATAGATGCCAACCTTTTTTGTTCTAGCTGAGAGCCAGGAGTAGGGGGAGCAGGAAGAGGAGGAGCAGGACGATGAAGGCGGGGGAGGAGGAGAAGGGAAGATGAGGAGAAAGACGTGGAGGATGTATGAGAAAGAAGAAGAGTCTAAGGAGGAGGAGGAGGAGGAGGAGGAGGAGGAGGAGGAGGGGGATGAGGAAGAGGAGGAGGAGGCGAGGGGGAGAGGGACGATGCGGATGAGAGAAATGAGGCGGAGCAGATAAAGGTGAGGATGATGAGGAGGATGAGGAGGAGGAGGAGGAGCAGGAGGAGGAGGGATGAGGAAGAGACGGAGGACAGGAGGAGGAGGAGGATGAACAACAAGAGAAGAGGAGGAGCAGGAGGGAGACGGAGCATTAGGAGAAGAAGGAGAGAGAAGAAGGAGAAGGACGGATCAGGATAAGGAGGACAGAGAACGAGGAGTGATGATGATGAGGAGGAGGATTGATGATGACGGCGACGAGGCCGACGAAACCGACGACGATGACTACCAGCGGCAGCAGAAGGCTGCCCTGTACGAAGCCTCTGCCGCCTTCTTGCTGAACCTGGCCGTCCTGTCGCTGAACCACGCCGAGAGGCCGCCCCAGCGGGGGGGAGGCTTACAGCCGAGACGCTGGAACAATGACCACTTTGGGATCAGGGGGGGCTCTGGTTGTTTGGCCCGTCCTCAGATCGTGAAGGCTTTACAGCTGGTGCCGCCGACCCAGAAGGACGACGACGACGACGACCACGACCGCGACCACGACCACGACCACGACCACGACCACGATGACGACCACGACGACATCGACGACGACAAGCTGATGATCCGGCCACAGGCTCGGGACATGGGGCGGGCGGTGGAGGGAGGAGGAGGCTCGGGTTGTTTGGCCCGTCTTCAGGTTCAGGTCGTGGTTCCTTACGGTTCCTTGCGGTTCCAGTTCGTCGGCCTGGTGGTACCATGTTTTGCTGGGTTGTTTCTGGCGCTTTGCACCCTTACGATCCATCCAGATGGTCGGTTCCCCGATAGCGTCTCGCCTCCTGGTACTGACAGCGCTACGCTGGCCTGGCGAAGGATCCATCCCTATGCAGTTGCGGGTAGCGCAGCGTGTGGTTCTCTCCTCATCAGTAGCGCGCCGCGGAAAGGGATGGAGCTCGGGTCGGGGCAGTGCGGATGGGGGGCGGCGGACCAGGCGCGCAGAGGCGGGCTGTGCTTCCTCTGGTGCGCGATCCAATTCGGGGGTGCGCCGACCATGGGTTCGGGGCCGCACACATCGACGACGACAGAGACGAGAGGTGGAGCTTTACTATTTGGAGGATCGTGAGGGGCGCCCCGAAATTAGCTGCGCCGGCATGCGGACCCTCACGCTGGGTCCGTAGGTGAAGCTACGTATGGGGCCACGATCCTCGCGAGGGGCGTCCGGTTCCTCCCTCATGGGCCTCGTCCGGCCCGGTTTGCGGACGGCCCTGGAGCTTGGAAACGCCACCCAGGAGGCCGAATATCCCATTCAGCAGCTCCTGGCTCAGCACGCGGGAGGCCTTGGGTGCTGACGACGACGACGACGACGATGGCGGCGGCGGCGACGACGACGACGACGACGACGACGCTGCCGTAGTCGTCCTCCTCCCTCTGGGGCCTCCCAGGCTGGTGCCGCTGAGGAGGTTCTACCTCCTCAAGGCGGGGCTCACCGCCGCGGTCATCCGCGTGATGCTCCAGGCGCACCGGCCCACGGGCCCCGCGATGAGCGCGGAGGCTCCCGTCGCACCCGAGGGTCCCGTCTCGCGGACGAGCGACGCAGAGCAACGCGGCCGTCTTCACCGGCATTCACGCGCGCGCTACCAGCGTAAGGTCGCGCGCGAGCGCCCCCTTCTCCGGCGTGGCGTGCCGCACTGGCGGCCCGCGTACGCTGCGGCGTGAGGTCGCTGCGTCATCTCGCGTGAGGCCCGTCTGTTTTCGTCGCTCAGATGGGGTCCGAGTAGATGGGGTCGGAGGATCGCGCCGCATCGCCGATGCACTGGCGATGAGCGGCTCGATGCGGAGCCCGATCTCCCCCACGCCGATCGCGGCGGTGCATCGCCGACGTCGCCGATGCAGGTCCGATGCCCTGTCCTTTCCGGGGGCAACGATCGGGGGGCATAGGCATAGGGGGGTTGCATCGACCTGGAACGGTTGATGCATCGACGATGCGTCGCCGACGTGTCGACATCAGGGCCATGCATCCACGATGCAGAATCGGCGACACACGGGGCGGTCTGCATCGACGAGGCACCGACGATGCGGGGGCGACGCAGCGGCCACTCGAGGCCGATGCCTCCTCCCCCCCTCTGCCCGGCCCCCTCCCGCCGCTGCCCCCCCGTCCAGCGTCTCCGCCGCCGTGTGTCAGTCGCCGGCACGGGCGCACCCCTCGACGTGAACGGGCCTCCGCGCGTGGCCCTCCCCGACACACGCCGCGTGTGAGCTCGCGGGCAAAGGGCGGAGGCTCCCGCCCTGCCCTTCGGGCTCGGTCGATGCCGACTTCCGCCCTGCTGTGCCGCCGCGGGCGCCGCCGTGCCTCTGCCGGGAGACCCGCCCGTGCCGCTCTGAGGCGGACGCCTTCCCGCCTTTGTGGGGGGTGGGCACTTCCGCCGTCGAGTCGGAGAATGGGCCGGCGTGCGGCGGAGTCTGGAGTCGGGGCGGGGGCCAAGTTCTGGACCTCGGGGCAGCGAACGGCGTGCTCGCGATGAGAAAGCTGGCCCCTGGGAGAAGACCAGGGCCCCGGAGGGCCCGCAGCGAGCAGACGGCGACGTCGAACGTCGGGGCGCCTGGGCCCGCTCCTCCCTTCCCTCCCGCCCCCCCTCTTCCTTCAGCCTTCTCCCTCCCGATCCTCCTCCTGCTCCTCCTCCTCCTCCTCCTCCTCCTCCTCCTCCTCCTTCCTTCATCCTCTCTTCCCCTCCGCTCTCCTCCATCCTCCTCTTTCCCTCCTCCTTCCCCCTTCTCCCTCCCCCATCTCCGTGCGGTCCCCGGCGCCACCCACCTTTGCCCTCTCACCCGGATGTTTCAGAGCACCGCACTCACCGCATGCCTTCGCCTCACGGACCCCAACTCCATCTCTTCCTCCTCCCCCCCTCACTCTCCTCTCTCCCGTTCTCCCTCTCCGCCCGCCCTCCTCCCGTCGCCGACTCCCCTCCCCTGCGAGGAGACAGTGTGGAGGCGCGAAGAGGTGGGAGGAGGGATAAGGGAGGAGATGGAATCAGCAAGAGGAGGAAGGCAGGAGGGAGGAGGAAGCAGCAGGAAGGCGGGAAGAGGGAGGGAGGGGGAGGAGGACCAGTGTAAACCCAAGATCCATCAATGATATTAGAATCAACCTTCCCTCCAAGCTCCATCTGCATAGGCCCCTACACGGATGCATTACCACTGCAGAAGTGCCCCGTTGGGAGACAAGTGTTTGAAGATCCTGAAGAGTGCCAAATCACCGTTCTCGGGACTCCAACGCCACCCTGACTGTTGCGTCTTGACGATCCTGAATCGTGCCAGGACGCCGTTCCTGGGACTTCGACACTGCGACTCAGTGTAACTGTTGCGCCTGGACAATCCTGAATCGTTCCAAAATGTTATATCTGGTACGTTAACTATGGGACTCCCAATTGTTACAACGATTATGCGCAGCTCTCAAGCCAGAGCTACATTTTGAGAAGGAGCCGCCCTCAATATGTGAAGCTTCTGCCAATGTTTTGAAGCGAGCGTGCGCAGCGCTAACGCGAGAGCCACATTTTGAAAACGGCACGCACTCCATCCGTGAAGCTTTTTAGCAAATTTGTAGAAACGAATGTGAATGGCGCTGCGGCGAGAGCCACATCTTGAAAACCACCCGCCCTCCATCCGTGAAGCTCTTCCAACTTTAATGTGCGCGTCGCTGAGGCGAGAGTCACATTCTGAAAGCGACCCGCCCTCCACTTGTGAAACGATTCCCGCTTTTGAGGTTCAGGACCAAAGATGGTAAGGATGTCTCAGGCGAAACTCCTGGGCCGCCCTTCCGGCCGTCCTCGAGGTGCAACCGGGCGGAGTTGCTTATATTTATTATATTTATAGGGAAAAGGAATGGAGGAGGATGAGGAGAAGTGGGAGGAGGACGCCAAGAAACCAAAGGCTCATCAGCGATACTGCGATTCCCCGTCACGTCCCAAGTCTCCTAACACGCCCCTGCAAGCTGTCCCTGTCACTGCAAGCAGCCCCCCCTTGATATACCCGCACGGTGGGGCCTGCCATTGTGACGAGGGCCCTGTTTTGAAAAAACAACTGCGTTTCATACCTCTGGCGCGTACTCTTGAAGCGAAGATATCTGATTGTACAGTTCAACGAGGTGTCGGGCGAGATCCCCCTTTCGACGACGGACCGTCCCCCTTTCCGTTTTAATGTTGTACAAGTTTACAATTGTGGTCATTAGCCTCGATCGAATCCATAGCGACAGCGTTATTTCGAGAAAGGGCCGCTTTGTATTCGTGCAGCGTTACATGTGTTGACACTTCGTTTGGTCCGACTAGCGAAGTCTCAGGCGAGAGCTCTATTCTGGAAATTATCCTGGCGAAGGACCCAACCAGATGCAGTTGCGAGTACCGCAATTGTGAGTATCTTCTTCGATGGCGCTCCCTATGGGGCCACGAACCGTATGAGGGGTGTGCCGAAATCTGTGCGGTGGGCGCATGGGAGCGCAGCCACTGGGGCCTTCGCTGGAGCTCCCTATGTGGCCACGAAGCGTGTGAGGGGTGTGCCGAAAATGGGTGCGGTGGGCGCATGGGAGCGCAGCCACTGGGGCCTTCGCTGGAGCTCCCCATGGGACCACGAAGCGTGTGATGGGTGTGCCGAAATGGGTGCGGTGGGCGCATGGGAGCGCAGCCACTGGGGCCTTCGCTGGAGCTCCCTATGGGGCCACGAAACGTGTGAGGGGTGTGCCAAAATGGGTGCGGTGGGCGCATGGAGCGCAGCCATGGATGGGGCTGTGACCGAAATGGGTGCGGTGGGCGCATGGGGCGCAGCCACTGGGGCCTTCGGTGGAGCTCCCTATGGGGCCACGAAGCGTGTGAGGGGTGTGCCGAAATGGGTGGGTGGCGCATGGGGCGCAGCCACTGGGGCCTTCGGTGGAGCTCCCTATGGGGCCACGAAACGTGTGAGGGGTGTGCCGAAATGGGTGGTGGGCGCATGGGAGCGCAGCCACTGGGGCCTTCGGTGGAGCTCCCTATGGGGCCACGAAGCGTGTGAGGGGTGTGCCAGAAAATGCGTGGGTGGGTGCATGGGAGCGCAGCCACTGGGGCCTTCGCTGGAGCTCCCTATGGGGCCACGAAACGTGTGAGGGGTGTGCCGAAATGGGTGCGGTGGGCGCATGGGAGCGCAGCCACTGGGGCCTTCGCTGGAGCTCCCTATGGGGCCACGAAACGTGTGAGGGGTGTGCCGAAATGGGTGCGGTGGGCGCATGGGAGCGCAGCCACTGGGGCCTTCGGTGGAGCTCCCTATGGGGCCACGAAGCGTGTGAGGGGTGTGCCGAAATCTGTGCGGTGGGCGCATGGGAGCGCAGCCACTGGGGCCTTCGGTGGAGCTCCCTATGGGGCCACGAAACGTATGAGGGGTGTGTCGAAATGGGCGCGGTGGGCGCATGGGAGCGCAGCCACTGGGGCCTTCGGTGGAGCTCCCTATGGGGCCACGAAGCGTGTGAGGGGTGTGCCGAAATGGTTGCGGTGGGCGCATGGGAGCGCAGCCATTGGGGCCTTCGGTGGAGCTCCCTATGGGGCCACGAAGCGTGTGAGGGGTGTGCCGAAATCTGTGCGGTGGGCGCATGGGAGCGCAGCCACTGGGGCCTTCGCTGGAGCTCCCTATGATCGTCATGATGGTGATGATGATGATGATGATGATGATGATGATGATGACGATGATGATGATGATGATGATGGCAGGAGGGAGGGGGCAGCGGGAGGAGGAGTGAACGCGGGGCGCTGTCACTTCAAAACGAGGACCCAACACCACAGGATGGTTGGGGAAAAAAATCATCCTCCCTCCTGCCAAATGTTTTATCACAAAGACTTTTTGCGGCGCTGAGGCTAAATATCCGCATGTTGGAAACAACCGGTGCTCAATCTTGGAAGCTGTTGCATATTCTGAAACGAAGATTCTTGGCGCTAGGGCGAGCCCCACTTTGAGAAGCAACCTTGTTCCATCCGTGAAACTGTTGTAACATGATCAACCTGTTAGCACGAATGCGTACGGCACTGGGGCGAGAGCCACATTTTGAAAACGGCCCGCCCTCCATCTGTTGAGCTGCTGAAGCTATCAAGACGAATGTGCGCGCCGCCAAGGCGAGAGCAACACTTGGCAAATTTCCCTCCGCGTTTGAAGCTCATGCGAACTTGAAGCACGAATGCGCGCAGAGCTAAGGTGAGAGCGATGTGCATTTCAAAACGGCAATTCATATATCCGCGAAGTTGCTGCAAACTTGTAAGACGAATGGTACGACGAATTTGCGCGGCGCTAAGGCGAGAGCCACATGTGCGGAACGGCTGCAAGCTTGTAAGACGAGTGTGAACGGCGCGAAGGTGAAGGCCACTTGATTGTAAAAGAGCTGCATTCCATCGGTGAAACGGATGCAAACTTCTAAGAACAATGCGCGCGGAGCTAAGGCGAGCGCTCCACTTTGAAAACCCGTCCTCGATCCGTGAAGTTCTTACAAACTCCATACTCCAGGATCGTACATGGTGAGTAAGTCTCCGGCGCATGGTGAGCGAGTCTCTGGCAAAACGTGCGGACCGCCTTAACGCCGCGTCCGGGGGCGCGACAGGGAGGAGTTGCTCGTAAGGGAACGGGATGGTGGAGCAGGGTGTGGAGCAGCAGGATGAGGAGGAAGCTAGTGCTCTCTCTCTCTCTCTCTTTCTATATATCTTTCTTTTGCTGTTCCGTGTCGTCGAGGTAACATCTGCTGCTGAGCTAATCTGAGCTAGCAGGAGGAGGAGGGGGAGGAGGAGGAAGAGGACGCGTAGGAGGAGGAACCTCCCCTTCTCCGCCTCTCCGCTCCAGCTCCCACCGGTCCCTCCACCTTCTCATCCCCTCCCCTTCTCGCCTCTCCTCCAGATGAGGAGGAGGAGGAGGAGGAGCAGCAGGCAGGAGGACGGAAAAGAAGCAGCAACAGCAGCAGCAGCAGCAGCAGCAGGAGCAGCAGAGGAAGCAGGAGGAGGATGAGGAGCAGGAGGTGGGATAGGATGAGGACGATGACGACAAGGTTGAAGGGGCCATGACAAGGTGGAGGCGGAGGAAGAGGATGATGACGACAACGTTTGAAGATGCCACGACTGACTCAGGCTCGAAGGAGGAGCAAGTTGTGGACGATGAGGAGGGGGCAAGGAACTGATAAAGGAGGGGACAAGAAGCCGAGATAGGAGGAGGACGACGACGCCGAGGTCGTTGGAGACCAGGTCTATGATGGGATCGCAGTGGAGGCTGAGGAGGGAGGATGGAGGATGAAACGTGGGCAGCAGGAAGGGGGTCAAGGAGAAGGAGGGGGAGGGGAGTGAACGAGTAGGGAGACGACGTACTCGGAGTGGGCCAGATTCGAGGGAGGATTGGCGGAGACCGGTAAGAGGGAGGGGAATCAGGAGTACGTCAGACACAACGGGATCGGCCCAGCGTGCGCAAAGAACACTACCATGAGCATGAGGAGGAGGCAGATAGAGAGGGGGAGGAGGAGGAGGAGGAGGAGGAGGAGGAGGAGGAGGAGGAGGAGGAGGAGGAGGAGGAGGAGAACGAGGACGAGGAGAGGATTGAGAAGGTGGCAAAGGAATCAGACAGCCTCAAGGTAAGCTCGGTCAACGGCCCCCCTGGAGCGCCCCGGGACGGCCGCGACCGACCCACGCCGATAGATTCTTTGGATTCGCGAGCTCGCGGAGATCCCCGAGTTATTCGCTTCCTGTGCGTGTCCTTCCCTCGTCTATGGGAAGGAGGAGGAGAAAACAAATTGTGTCGCCGAGATTCAAGATGCCCGGTTGTCCGTGGAGGTCACCGCAGATGTCTCCAGAGACCTTAGCAGGATTCCAGGGGATCGAATAGAGAGCCCAAGTCGCCACACCGCCCCACGAGCAAGTCCGGGAGCCTCCCTTCTCGATCCTTCAGGGTCGAGGGCGAAGTGTGTCAGGCGGAGGGGGCGGACAGGAGGAAGGGGTGGAGGAGTAGAGGAGGGGGTTGCACCCGTGCGAGCCGAAAATCTGGCTCGGGTGAGCTGGCCCGAAGGCGCTTCACGGTGCAGCCACAGCCGAAGACGAAGCCAAAGTTGAAGTGCACAGAAAATGGAGAGGGCCCACCCTGCAGGTTTGGTGGACAGCACTCCGTTGAGCGGTGCGGTGGAGAAGCAGGAGGAGGAGGAGGAGGAGGAGGAGGAGGAGGAGGAGGAGGAGGAGGAGGAGGAGGAGGACGAGGAGCAGGAGGAGGGGCGAGGAGGAGGAAGAGGAGGAGGAGGAGGAGGAGGAGGAGGAGGAGGAGTAGGAGGAGGAGGAGGAGGAGGAGGAGGAGGAGAGTGAGCAGGATGACAGGGAGGAACGGGGGCCCACTTTCTGAGGGTGCGGCGGGAGCCTCCCCCGAGCCCCGCGTTCGCTTTCGCCTACGCGCCCCTTGCTCAGCGGGGGCCCTGCTTCGTGGATCGATCGGTCGCTGATCCGTCGATCGATCGGGAGCGGCGCTGATCAAGGCTCGAGTGGGCGCGGGGCCGTGCATAGCTCGATCCGAGTACGGATCGACCAGGTCGCTGGGCGCGCTGATCGACCGGGGGTGGAGTTGGAGGTGCTGGGAGTGGAGGGGCAGTTGCGGGGGACTTTCGCCCCCCAGTGGGTCCTCTTCGCGACGTGCTGTCGGACGCGTGTTAGCTGTTCCGACCAGCTTTTTCGGATGGTGGAACAGACGTTTTTATCGTGACGTAGACCCTTCTGGCATCCGTCCCAGGATGGTGTAAAGACCCTTCTGGCATCGGCTAGGAGGGCGTACACACCATGCCAGGGCCAGGATGGCCCTGGCCTGGCACGGTGGTGGTGTATGGATGCCTTCTGCGTAATTCCACCAACCTCCGAATGACTCGACGCTGCCCGGTCTTGCCATCGCCGTGCGCAGAGATCGGCATTCCGAGGTCCTTCAGCTCCTCTGCCCCGTCAGGGCCGCGGGGATCGTGGGCGCCGCCCGACTCTCTGGAGCCCGGCCCGCGCGCAGAGGGGGCTGCGGCTCGAGGGGGGGGGCGGTCTTCTGCTCGCCGTGAAGGAGATCGGCGGTTCAAAGACGGCGCCCTGAGCCATGAGGCCCTGAAGATACTCTGGGTTTCTTGATCATAGGCGTGGGGGGGACCCCCCCCGACGGGGGTCAACCTCGCCTCGTCTTCGCGCCGCGACGGGGGTCGGAGCGCCTTCGGCGCGCGGTGGCCGCCCGCGACGGGGGTCGAGGTGGGGCCGTCGGCGGGGGTGACGCCCCCCCCCCCGACGCCTATCGAGAGACTCGGCGTCGGGAGAGACTCGGCGTCGGGAGCGGCGTCGGGAGCGACTCTCTGCTGGCGGATCGTCCTCATAGAGCGCTCCGCCCTCGGGGGCCAGGAGCTGGGCCCGGACAGACCCCCCCCCCACCCGGACACCTCGATGGTGGACTGCCCCCCTCTCGGGCCCTTGCTTCTCTCTTTTCCAGGGCTGCATTTTGCGCGCCCTCTCGCGCCTCGTGCGCGTTGGCGCCGTACCGATTGCAGGGGTTTTCGAGAGGCGTCCCGCGCAGACGCGCACACGCGCCCCGAAGGAGCGGGCCCCGGGGGCCACCCGAGAAACGGATCCGGGCCGGAGAGGCTGCCCCCCCGCGGGAGCGAGACTGCCGGGGGCCGCGGATCGGCGGGCGTCGGGGTGGACTGCGGACCCTGGATGGAGGAGGAGAAGGGAGGAGGGGGGAGGAGGAGGAGGAGGAGGAGGAGGAGGAGGAGGAGGAGCAGGAGGAGGAGGAGGAGGAGGAGGAGGAGGAGGAGGAGGAGGATGGAAGAGGAAGAAAAGGAGGAAGAGAAGGAGGAAGAGGAGGAGGAGGAGGAAGAGGAGGAGGAGGACCCTCGTCCTCAGGGCTCCGTCCTTCAGAGCCCCATCCCTGAACGGCAGAGGAGGAGGGCTCCGAGGGAAGCGTGCCCAGTGGTGTTCCGCCGTCTCTTCGGCCTCCGGGGCTCCCCTCGGGCCCACGGACCGTTGCAAGAAGGCCTCGGGACGAAGTCTTTCGGGGGCGGCGATAGGGGGATAGGCATAGGGGGGACGCATGGACCTCGAATCGGGCCCGGAGGTTTTCCGCCGTCTTCGGCATTCTGGGCCCCCCTCGGGCCCTACGGACCGTTGCAAAAGGGAAAGTGCGCCAATGGATCTCCTTGAATACACTACCCTTCAAGGGGAGGGGGGGGGTCCGGACCCCCCCCCCCTTGGCGCTGGAATGGGGGGGGGGGTGTCGGACCCCCCCCCCCCTCGTGTAGGGAGTACGGAGTTGGGGGTAGGGAGTGGTGAGTAGTGAGTAGTGAGTTGGTGCGTAGTGAGTAGTGAGTATTGGGTAGTGAGAAGTGGGTAGTGAGTGGCGAGTAGGGAGTAGGGAGCAGGGAGTGGTGAGTAGTGAGTAGTGAATAGTGAGTAGTCTGTACTGGTATGTGAGTAGTGAGTGGCGAGTAGTGAGTAGTGAGTAGTGAGTAGCGAGTAGCGAGTAATGAGTACTGAGTAGGGAGTAGGGAGTAATGAGTAGTGGGTAGTGAGTAGTGGGTAGTGAGTAGTGGGTGGCGAGTAGTGATTAGTGAGTAGTGAGTAGTGGGTAGTGCGTAGTGCGTAGTGCGTAGTGGTAATGAGTAGTGAGTAGTGCGTAGTGAGTAGTGAGTACTGAGTAGTGAGTAGCGAGTAGTGAGTAGCGAGTAGTGAGTAGTGAGCAGTGAGTAGTGAGTAGTGAGTAGTGAGTACTGAGTATTACGTAGTGCGTCGTGAGTAGTGAGTAATGGGTAGTGATGAATAGAGAGTAGTTGGTAGTGGGAGTGGGTAGTGAGTAGTGAGTAGCGAGTAGGGAGTAGCGAGTAGTGAGTAGTGAGAAGCGAGTAGGGCGTAGTGAGTAGTGAGTAGTGAGTAGAGAGTAGTCAGTACTGAGTAGCGGGTAGTGATTAGTGAGTAACGAGTATGGAGTAGTAAGTAGTGAGTAGTGAGTAGTGAGTAGCGAGTAGGGAGTAGGGAGTACTGAGCAGTGAGTAGTAAGAAGTGGGTAGCGAATAGTGGGTAGTGAGTAGCGATTGGTGAGTAGTGGGTAGTGGGTAGCGACTAGTGACTAGTGACTAGTGAGTAGTGAGTTTTGACTAGTGACTAGAGAGTATGTAGTGACTGGTGAGTAGGGAGTAGTAAGTAGTGAGTAGTGAATAGGGAGTAGCGGGGAGTGAGTAGTGAGTATTGAGTAGCGTGTATGGGAGTAGCGAGTAGTGAGTACTGAGTACTGTGTAGTCAGTATTGTGTAGGGAGTAGCGAGTAGCGAGTAGCGAGTATTGGGTAGTGAGCAGTGATTTGTGGGCAATGAGTAGTGAGTAGTGAGTAGTGGATAGTGGGTAGCGGGTAATGAGTAGTAATTAGTGAGTAGTGAGTAGGGAATAGTAAGTAGTGCTTAGTGGGTAGTGAGTATTGAGTAGTGGGTCGTTAGGAGTGAGGAGTGAGTAGTGAGTAGTGAGTAGGGAGGAGGGAGGAGGGAGTAGTGAGTAGGGAGTAGTGAGTAGCGAGTAATGGGGGTGGTGGTGTGTAGTGACTAGTGGATAATGAGTAGTGAGTCGTGAGTAGTGGAGTAGTGAATAGGGGGTATTGAGAAGTGAGTAGCGAATAGCGAGTAGTCAGTAGTGGGTAGTGAGTAATGAGTAGTGAGTACTCTTTGGGGCTGGGGTTAGTGGTTGGGGTTAGGATTTGGGTTTTGGGTTAGGGTGAGGACTAGGGGTAGGGGTGGCGGGGTCGGGTTCCAAAGTCAAGGGGGCGGCGTGGCGAAAGGGGGGGAGGGGGGGGGGTCTGCGGCCAAAGGGGGGGGGGGGGGGGGGTCGGATCCCCTCTTTTGAAAGGGGGGGAGGGGGGGGGTCCTTGACGACGGATCGGGGAAAGGGGGGAGGGGGGGGGTGGGTTCCGACGACGGATCGGGGAAGGGGGGGAGGGGGGGGGGTCCCCGACGACGGATCGGGCCCCCCCTTGGGGAGATCCAGCGGCGCACCCTCGCAAAAAGGCCTCGGGACGAAGAGCTGGTGTTTCGGAGGCAACGATGCGGGGCGGATAGGCATAGGGGGGACGCATGGACCTCGAAGGTTTGATACGTCGACGATGTCAGGGCGATGCATCGACGATGTATAGACTGTACATTCGGCAGTCTGCATCGACGCTCGAGGTCGATGCATCCCCCCTGCGCCTACAGTCGAAACCGATGATAGGGATGAGTAACCTTCCCAAGGGTACCCTTGCATCCTTGCCTCTTCGGTCCATCCGTAACCCCTTTCGACGGCCAGCCCCACTGGAAACGCTTCGACGTGCCCGTGCCCGTCCAAGCGGCTTGCATCTTCCTCGCGCACCCTTACTGTCAGTTTTGACTGTGCGGTATGTTCTTGCGGCGTTGGCGCGCGGGCGACGCCAGCGAAGGCGTTCAGGGTTGAATTCTGCGACGCGGAAGCACCGAGGGGCATGGTGACACCACTGCATCCGACGAAATTCAACCTTGAACGATCGGAACCGCGATCGATTCGAGGCTGAACGATCGAGGCGGGGTCAGAAACCTTTGCGCGCACCGACGCCGTACGCACCTACCGTACCTTCCCCCTACACGCCAGTCGTTGAAAGTAGGTGTTTCTGGATTCGCTGATTCCAATCTGTTTCAAACATTTTTCCTCAACGTAACCGATATGGTTCTGCTGTGTTTTGATAGTTACTCTCTGTGAGGGCCTGAACCCAATCTACTCGATCCGTCTTCCTACTTCATGCTTCTGCCCACCTCTTCCGACTGGTTTACTATTGTTTGGGAGGGCCTGCGCCCAATCTACTCGATCCGCCCTCCTGCTTCATGTTTTTGCCTACCTACCTCCGACCGACGCGCATCGTTACCCCTCCTCCTCCACCTCCTCCTCCTCCTCCTCCTCCTCCTCCCGGGGAAGTGGTTGGGAGGTCGGGGGCCCGTGTCGCGAAAGAACCGAGACGTCGGATGTCCGGGCACCCGTCGGTTGTTGAAAGTAGGCATTTGTTGTGGGATTTTCGGATCCCACTCTGCTTTAGGCGCCTTCCTCCTTCGGTGATCGAGTGTTTTCACCTGTTCCTTCCTCTTCAGGGGGCGGGCGGAAGCCCAATCTGCTTCCGACGCCTTCCTGCCTCATGGTTCTACCCACTTCTTTCGACCGACGGGTATCTATCCACTGCTCCCTGGCCAGGCCCCTCCTGGGCCCAGGAGCTGTGTATACGCACTCCCGGCCGAGCCAGGAGAGCGTGCCGTAGACACCGCTGCTGGGTTCAGGATGGGCCCAGCCAGGGAGCAGTGGATCTGTATGGATTTCGTCGCCCTGCCTCAGAGGCCCTCTCAGGATCGAAGGCATAGAACACATAAGCGCCCACTCCAGATGTCATAGTAAAGGGGGGGTCACAAACCTCCCGGACGAGCAACTTTGGACTCCCCCCCCAGACCAGCCGCAAGAGGGGGCCTTTCGCCAGGACCCCCCAGACACTTCCCAAGACAGCTCAAATCAAGACCCCCCGTGATGAGCTTTGGGGTAAGCCTTCGGAGGTCCGCCCGGAATTTCTGGGATTGGCGATGGACCCCCCTGGCGGCACCTCAGGGCGCGCAGACCTCCGGAAGCTTGTGCATACAGTCAAGCCGACAGTAAGGATGAGCAATTTTCCAATATTGCCCTTGCATCCTTCCCCTTCGCGTCGGCCCATCCTTGGCTGCTTTCGCTGGCCGCGCCCCGCTCGCAAAGTGGCGGCATGGCCTTCCGAGGCCCCTGCATCCTCACCGCGCATCTCCATCGTGATGTGCGCCAGATGTTCAATTCGGTGCCTTGCCCAGTCATCACACCACACTCCATGAAATCAAGATAGGCTTGCTGCGTATCCAGGCAGCTGATCCGCGTGGCTGAGATCTGCTTCACCTTCTCTGTGATGCTTTGTAGATATACCTCTGTGGTGTTCTCTCCTACATAGTCCGTCAGGTC